TATATATATATATAAACAGATCATGACTGGGGTGTTTTTGTGAAGCATCTCCCTTATGATGAGCTAACGCTACAATCAGGGTGGAGGTAAGGATGTATCTGTGCATGTTTGTTATCATATGCTGAAGAATTTCTCTTTTTATACGTTCTGTGTTTGCTGTTGAACTTATAAGTTTGCACAAAGAAACTGAAGGGAAATTGTGATCAATAAATGGAAGTCTGATTAATGTTACAGAAAACAGTTCAATATCTTCTAAGGTTTTATTCTTATCTTTCTCCAGTCAGCTCCAGCACATACAGCAGCAGTGGGCCTCAGAGTAAAATGACCTTTGTCTTGTCTGAATACAGAGACAGAGCCCAGACAGTCCCAGGCTGTATCTAATCATCTACTCATATTATAATGATTCAACCTTTTAACGTTATGTCTCTTCCTGGTTATTTTAGTGGCTATCAGACATTAACGTAACCAACTTTTGTTTATGCAGACARAAAGAACACGTCGATAAGACACATCAGCTCTCATGGCTGCAATGAACAGAAAATATAAAAATACAAAACTGGATCAAACATTTAGTTGATCAGTTACAAATTTTCTTTCGAAACAAAAGAAAAAGCTAAATGTAGCATCATATTAGCTAAAAGTAGCAAAAGGGTAGACAAAATGTATTAGCAAATAGCTAAAACTATCAAAACCCTGGCTAAAAGCAGCTTAATGTTTTCCAGAAGCATTAGTGAAATAACAGCAAATAGCTAAAACCCATTGGCTAAAAGCATATTTAAGTTGTAAAAGTAAAAATTTGTGAAACAACAACAAAAACTAAAAATAACATAATAAACTTAAAGGTGATACAGTGAAATATTACCTGAATTATAAATAAAATCAAAAGGCATATCAAAGGCTAAATAATAACTAAAAGTAAGAAAAGTACCAGCTAAAAGCTGCATAAGGTTTTCTCCAGCAAAAAGCTAAAAAGAGGCAAAACACTACCTGAAATACAAAGGTTGTCAAAAACTATATTAAAATATCAAAGATGCTAAATGTAGCAAAAGATAGGCTTGCTAATAGCAACAAAAGGCAAACTTAAAGCTAAAAGTAGCAAAAGATAACAAAATTTGAGAAAGTAAGCTGAGGCAAATTTCAAATAGAAAGATATTTGAGACTTTAAAGATCTAAACAAATTTCTATGAGGAACGTGTTTGTTAATAAAGTAAAAACAATTGAAAATTATAATAATCAAAGATCACAGTACAAACTGTTACGAAATGAATGCCTTATGGGCAGAAATTGTGCAGATGTAGTTAGCAAATTATTAATAATGATGATGATGATGATGATGATGATGATGATGATGATGATGTTGACAGAAAACCAATCATGTGAATGCTGAATCAACACTGTTTGTCTTTGGATAAAACAGTTGTTTCTTCAAAAACTCACACTTGCAGATGGTTGAGTCCAGTGTAAACTGCATTGAAGTGGATGTTTTGCGTGACATATTTAAATAAAAAAAAATAAACAGGTAAAACTACAAAGTGTTTTAGTTTTGTGTGAGCTATTCCTATGCTGCACGACATACAGGGGTGTCAAACTCCAGTCCTCGAGGGCCGCTATCCTGCATSTTTTAGAGGTTTTCTTGCTCCAGCACACC